GGGTGGGGTGGGAACCGGGTGGAGGGGAGCTATGGGGGGAAAAAAGAGGAACAACTGTAATAATTTGAACAATAAAGATTTAATTTAAAAAAATAGGACTACCTTATAACTCAGAAATTCTACTTCTGGGTATTTATCTGAAGAAATCCAAAACACTAATTCAAAAAGATATATGCACCCTGTATTCATTGCAGCATTATTTACAATAGCCAAGATATGGAAGCAACTAAGTGCCATCAATAGATGAGTTGATAAGGATGATGTGGTACAGGTACACAATGGAATGTTACTTGGCCATAAAAAGAATGAACTCTTACCATTTGCAACAACATGCATGGACCTAGAGCAGTGGTTCACAACCTTCCTAATGCCACGACCCTTTAATACAGTTCCTCATGTTGTGGTGACCCCCAATTTCATTGTTACAAATTGAACATAATTAAAGCATAGTGATTAATCACAAAAACAATATGTAATTATATATGTGTTTTCCGATGATCTTAGGCGACCCCTGTGAAAGGGTCGTTCGACCCTCAAAGGGGTCGCGACCCACAGGTTGAGAACCGCTGACCTAGAGGGTATTGTGCTGAGTGAAATAAGCCAGACAGAGAAAGACAATTGCCATATGATTTCACTTGTATGTGGAATCAAGAACAAAATAAGCAAACAAAACAGAAAGACAAACTGGTGGTTGTCAGAGGGGAGGGGTTTGGAGGACTGGATGAAAAAGGTGAAGGAATTAAGAAGTACAAATGGGTAGCTTAGAGAATCCTATATAATAAAAGCCTAATAGGCAAATTGTCCCCTCGGGTGGTCATTTACCGGGAGTTCGACTGACCAGGAGTTCAGTCGCTTGCTATGACTTGTGCAGAACATGGCAGGCATCAGCGACGCGGTGCTGGCAGCGGGTGGCAGTGGAGGCGCTGCCGGCCCTGATGGGCCCTGACGACAACAGGACCACGGGGGGATGATGGAGCAGGTGAGTGGGCGCCAATCACCCCACAGACAGCGGCGGCAAGGGGTGGGGTGAGTGGGTGGTGCCAGGTCAAGAGGGGTTCTAGGAGGGGCTGCGGGGCTGCAAGGCTGGGGCCCAATCTCTGCAATCTCTGCAGGCCACACTGAGGGACCCCACCCATGCATGAATTTTGTGCACCGGGCCTCTAGTATAATAATCTATATATATAAAAGGCTAATCGGCAAAGTGTCCCCTCGGGAGTTTGAGTATGACATATGCTGACCACCAGGGGGCGGCATGGAACATGGCAGGCAACCAGCGGCAGTGGCAGCAGGGCACTGAGAGAGTGTGGGAAGGAGGAAGTGGGGAGGCAGGGAGGTGGGGAGGCGGGGAACCTGATAGGCCCTGATTGCCGGCCAGGCCTAGGGACCCTACCTGTGCATGAATTTCATGCACCGGATCTCTAGTATTGTAATAACGATGTATAGTTCCAGGTGAGTACTAGAATTCTTGGGGGATCACTTCATAAATTATATAAATGTCTAAACACTATGCTATATATCTGAACTGTAATTGAAAAATTTTAAAAAGACTTCCCCCTCCCAATCTATCTCTTTTGAGACACTAGTTAACCCTTCGTCCTCACTATGTGCCAGGAGAGTGCTAAGCACTTTAATCACTTCTCGTCTACAACCAAATGATAGCTGTTATCACATCCCCATTTCACAGATGGGAAAATGGAGGCACTCTGAGTTACATAACTTTCCACGGTCACAACGGCAATTAACGGAACCAGGAGTCAGATTCAGGCAGCCTAGATCCAGAGTCCACCCTCCGCACTCTGTAATATCCTGGAAGGAACAGCTTGTTCAAGAAAGGGAAATGAAAGAGAGAGAGAGAGAGACAGAAAATTTTTAAAAAAAATTTAAAAAAGGGAAATGAAGATGCCTGCACTAGCAAACTGCCTTTTTTGCTACAACTTCACTCTTTAAAGACGCTTGTTCTTCATCCTCTTTCTCCATGTCCCGCCCTCCCTGCAGGAAGGAACTTTTTAAAAATGTGTAGTTTTATTGATTTCAGAGAGGAAGGGAGAAGGAGAGATAGAAACATCAATGATGAGAGAGAATCATGGATCAGCTGCTTCCTGCACGCCTCACACTGGGGATCGAGCAGCAACGGGGCATGTGTCCTGACTGGGATTCGAACCGTGACCTCCTGGTTCACAGGTCGACGCTCAACCACTGAGCCACACTGGCTGGGCAGGAAGGAAGTTCTTAGAAAACCCAATATGTGTGTCCCTCCCCCCTCCCCCCTCCCTGGGCCGTGTGGGATCCTCCCACCCCATCAACCCCACAGCCTCACTGCCCCTTCCCCTTTCAAAGGATAACCAGTGGTCCAGTGTATAAATTCCAATTTGACTTTAATAAATTAAATTCCAAATCATCTCGCAGCAATGGCCATCATCCTCTCTCAGCACACCGCGGAGCACCCCTAGAGCCATCGGTGCAGGGAGGGGTCCCGCCCGGAAGGACTCCGGGCGGAGGCATCAAGTACAAAAAACGGTACTAAAGGG